TTTGCAACAAATACTTATTTTAATTATTTTGCTAAAGCATATCCATGTTTCAAATGTCAATAAAAATGATGAAGATAAAGCATTCAATATCATTTTACCTTTAATGATACACGAGGGGTTATCTGTCCATTCCTCACTGGGTTGACAGATTATTACATTTTCACCTTGTAATTCATGTCCTTCGTCACATGAAACCATGGCAACAGTTCCGTTTGTTGTAGATGTTGTGTTGATATATCCAAAATCAGGTGTTGGGTCGCCGCAGTCTTAAGAGAACATTTGAGGAAACATGAATTTAGTTTCTTGTTAAACTGTGCATTTTCAGACAGTCTTAATGCTTTCAGGATTTTAACTTTATAATAAAGTGTTTTGTGTGACTAAGCTATGGCCTTGATATTTGTTCTTGTGGCCATATTATTTATTTCAAAACGCTTTTAGTTGTTTCCAAATGATGTTTCTCCTATATAAATTCGTTTCAAAGAGTAATATCTAGATCATTTAACTATTGCCTTATGTTACTGATAAAAAGATCGATCATTCGATAGATAGCTAATTATTTAATGGCATACCTATCAATTTGCACGTTGGACTGCTGCTCCATGTAGCGTCAAGTTCACAACGTATTTCAGAATCACCAATCAAATTGTATCCGTCGTCACACGTGACCGTCACAGCAGCAAGGTAATGCGTAGATGTGGAATTTATGCTCCCATTTGTTGGCTTTGGTGAAGGGCATTCTTAAAAACAAATCTTTAATTAAAAATTAACATTTTAATCAATGCAAGTATGCCATTATTAAATTCATATTCCTGTAAAGTATTTTATGACTCCTCATTGTAAAACATACAAATGTTTTACATGTGAAATGAATTAATTTAAAACATTTGTATGTATTACAAAATCATAAAAAATGAAAATAAATATAAGACTAAAACAATATAAGAGTAAGGCAAATAGCCCGGCAATTTGAACTGCACAAACATATCTACCGTGTATACATGAATTTGTTATTGGCTTTGTTTTCTCTGAATAGATTTTCCCTTTTCCGAACCAAAATACTTCATGTTTGTACTTGTCAAAAAATAGGAAATTGCTATGTAAACGGTACGTTTTGTGATGATTGTTGAAATAATAACTTGCATACTCATGGTCAAATGATACTATTGTTTTCGTTTAGCAAAAAAAACATTGAAATAACTAATTGTGGCTTTTTAATTTATTGCTCTTACCTGTGCAAACAACAGAAACGTCGTTGGAGTGATAGCAGTTATCATAGGTGACGTAACTACAATTGTTGATATGTGTAGAATTATCTTCACATTGTAAGTCATCAACAAATATTGGACCAGAACCTTCGCCAAAGTAGGCACCATGGTGAAATGAGGCAGCAGGACTGGAAACAAATATTTGCGTATATTGATTCATAAAGCTACATTTTGATTCAAGTGTCAAAATAATGATAAATTACATTTCGTTTGACTTTCAAGCTTTTACACCTATTTAGTGTTGTACAAGTAAATTGTTACTAGAAAGAGAAATAATAGAAAAATATAATTATAGTACATGTAGTATATCTTTAAGAGGATTTCAAGTACATGTATTAAGATTTCTAAGAGACCTGCAAACGAATATAGATCATTCTCGAGGGCAATGCATTCAAGCATTGGCTGAATCTTTATTGATATTCAACTTTATGTATTCGATATTCAATAAAGAAAAGATAATTGTTTCTTACGGGAAGCCAATCATTGTGCATATTGTGTCGGCTTCATTTTTACCGAAACCATGGTCACATACTGTTCCCCAAGTGTCCAAAGATTTTATTTCTACCCTACCATTTGACGTTGAATTTCCCCCTGACAGTTTTATGTCAGTGATATCTAATGGATAGCCTGAAAAAGACAAAGTGACCCTTAATGCACTTAATTAATGTATAATATACATGTATCTAATATAACATTATTGTTTCTCTAAAACATTCATTTCCTGTTTATTCGTTGTATTAAAATAATACTATCAATAGAACTCTTATAACTTCTTTGTATTCATATACTCTTTTAATTATGGTGGTTTATTTCTGCAAACCATTTACCACATAATTATCACGCTGCTTATCTAACTAACTTTTGTTTAAACAGCTTATATCATTTATTTAGATACATTATAGTGTTTTTTAAAGTTATATACTTATTCGTTATTTATCTATAGCAGAAAAATATCTAGTTTGTCTTATAAATATCTGCTATTTATCGGGTTGACTAAAAAAAAATTAGTTAGTCAGATAGTTTACGCGATAAATATATGGTTAACTGCCACCATATTCAATTTATACATCATGATTGTTTGTAATTGAGGAAGTACACTTCGAATTCACTATCTCCACTTTGAAGAGTATTCAAATAGGCTAGAATCACTGTCAATTGTATTGAAACTGAGGGTCGTGGGTTCAAACCCCATAAGGGCAACTTTTTTTTCTTTTTAACATTTTTCATGAATCTCTCAGATCCCTAATGGGAGAAAAAAGTGTTTTATTTTTATTATATTATTATTGTAGGTATTTATTTGCTAAATAATGCCAAATTTAATAGCAAATATGATACCAGATATTTTCAATAAAATAAACTTTTAATAAAATAAAAACTACAAGGTAACAGTATTTTATATTTTGCAAAACCAACCAATATAAATTTAAAGCCACTGACCTCCAGATGGTAAAATGAAAAAATGAAAAAATTTCAAGTAAATGGTAAATACTAATCTAAGTAGGTTTATTGTATACATCAATCATTACTCACATCTTAATTCAAAAAAGAATGTTGACAAAAGCGTAAATATATCGGGGTTTTCCCATAATCTACTACGTTACAAACGCAGTAGCCAATATACATAGGACAAGATAATTCATTTAACGCTGTCATGTGTCACAACAGTGATCCGGAAAAATCCCGGTATCCGGTATGCCCCTGATCGTTTATCAATTTTCGTCATAGTAGGTCCCTATCACATTTCAAGCTAAATGTTAAATCGGTCAATTGGTCATCATATATATGAAATGATTAATCAATTACAATTTTTAGTAACATGAATTAATACAAATATAAAAACAAAAGCAGTTCTTCGTATCCCTATATGTTTGGAAAAAAAACCGGATTCCGTGCGTTCCGGAGCACGGGTCGCAATATTGTCCTGTACGATCACGTGATACTAGAAAAAAACTGTTTCATGAAATTCGTGACCAGGTCTTTCCTAAATAGAAAGATCGAGTACGAGGCCGATATCCAACTTACACACCGTAAAACTATATTAGCTTGAGCAATGGCTGATTCGGTACATTTGATGAAATGCACTAAGACAACGCATATACAGGTAAGCTTTTATCAACGTTCTGCTTAAATACAATATATATTTTGCATTTAAATTTGCTTTCCCCATTAAAATCAAAAAAGCTAAATGTGCATTTTGTCAATAATAAAGAGAGTAGTTCTGTAATAGAAGGTATGTTAAAGAATGAATAATTATGTTGATAGTATTTCGTATCAGACAATGCAGACTCTAGGACATTTGCCCCCGGACAGTTGCCCTCCGGACAATTGCCCCAATTTTGCCGTACTAATTCAAATGTCACTTGTCATTTCGTGTATAGTTTCTTTTTTTGTATGCCAATGGAAGCATTTAAGTTTTATTTATTTATGAAAGCTATTTTGACTTTCACAAATTTGCGCGGGAGTTTTTGTGTATTTAAGCACAATGAAGTTTCGACAATAGGCTATGAATTGTGGTAGCAAACAATTAAACAATAAAATATTTTTTAAAACAGGGAGGGGGCAAATGTCCGTCCCTTCCAAAGATATGAAGGGGCAAATGACCGCCACTGCAAAAAGGGGGCAAACTTCCAAGGGGGCAAATGTCCGAAGGGCAATGTCCGAATACCCAGCAGGCCACGAAAGACTTACATATGTATATTGGTGGCAAGTGTGAGATATATGAACCAAAACTATATTTTATACAGCAGATTATAAAGTGTTCTAGAATAAAATATGATCGTTCATCATAATTTTTTATACTAAATCACTTATAACTTTTAAAATAGGAATAAGTATGCTGTCATGTCTGCTATATAATTTAATTGAAGCGTCCATTTTGTTATATTATGAACTTAATGACAGAATTACTATTACTTTAAAATATACGCTATTAAATACATTTTAAATGCTTTCTTCTCATGATGAGTTCATCCTAACTTTGATATGCTATCCATTATTTTGTTCAAAGATTTAATAAAGGTTATGCTGCTATATAATTTAATAGAACCGTCCATTTTGTTATATTATGAACTTAATGACAGAATTACTATAACTTTAAAAAATTACGCTATTAAATACATGTTAAATGCTTTCTTCTCATGATGAGTTCATCCTAACTTTGATATGCTATCCATTATTTTGTTCAAAGATTTAATAAAGGTTATGCTGGAATAATTGCTTAGTTAAAAGGGTTTAAATTTTGGATTGCATTTTATGTTTTCTTTGTCTGCGCATAGGCAGGTCTATTTTTTCACGTGTATTTCATGACTGGGTCTGTCTGACTAGAACAGACCTGTGCACGTGCAAAAGATAGACCTCATAACGGCCTTTCTTTTGTTTAAACAGGTCTATCTGAGAAATATAGACCTGTCACAAACAATAGAGGAAATGTGTAAGCTTGTTTAATTTGTTACCTGAATGCCATTATTTGTTTCTTAACAATGAGCAATAGGAAAATTTTTTTTTAATCATAATATTATAGATTATTTATAGTTTCCTCATTTCGGAAAAAAACCTTTCTAATGGCAAAGTTTTAGTTCAGAAAAATGTTCATAACTCATAAACCACACGGTAAATTTTGTCTAAACTTTGCATACTAGTGACATTAAAGGCATATAACCGTCCTATGATGTCAATTTCACGGTTCCTTATAACGTCCGTTCGGGGGTGTACTACCCTAATTTTAAAGGGTTTTTTTTATTATTTTTCATTTTCAAGGAGTGCATTAATTTTGTATATACCGTATTCTTGACATTCTCCTTCTGCTTTCCATGTCTGATTAACATTGTCACAAGTCATCTTTAATATGCCTAAATATGTTTTATAATAGGAGCAGTCAGCATACAAAGTTGAACCATTGTATGTAAAATATCCAGCATCCCAATGAGAGTTGTCAGGCTCCCCGCACTCTGAAATGAATAAAATATTAATAAATAATTAATTACAAAACATAAAACTAAAGGTGGTTAATACCCCAACCAGCAACTTTGACTTTTTAAAATATAAGTGGTGTGAATAAAAATTTGAATTCAACCTATAATAAAGGTTGTATCAACTGTGTACAAAGAATTATTCATATAAGTTTGTTACATACCAAGTTTAATTGCAAAATCTCAGTCTTAACTCAAGTTATTGTCCGGAAACCATTTTTTCATATTAAGTAATGGTAACCTTGACCTTGACAGTATATACATTATGAGAGTTTGATTATTCGGAGATTTGTCGGAGAAGAGCAGGAAACGAGAGAGAAGTGACGTCATTAATCCGAATTAATCCGAGATAAGTAGATAATCCTATGGGGATTAGGATTATCTACTCATCTCGGATTAATTCGGATTAATGACGTCACCTCTCCTTTCTCGTCTCCTGCTCTTCTCCGACAAATCTCCGAAAAATCAAACTCTCATAATGTATATACTCTTGACTCTAGGGGTCCAAATGCAATACCAACCGGGGTTTCCACATAAGGTTGCTAAATACCAAGTTTGATCACCATACTAAATTCCAAACTATAGTTATCGTCCGGAAGCCATGATGTAGTCCGACCAACCAACCCACAAGCTGACTCCTATATAATCCCCTAAACTTCGTTTGTAGGGGTATAATAATAAAATGAATAATAATATAATAGAGTTTTTATGTCGCAGGCTCTATTTCATTTATAATCGCTCATTTACAGACCTTTTCAGACAGAATGTACAATGTTCACTCGCTGCTTTGTTTGGAAAAGTCGAATAAATGTATAAATGCTTAATGTTTTCATCAAAGCTGTTGATCGAATATTCTACTGTTTTTTACCTACTTAATGCATTTTGCATCTAAATTCACCTTAATCGAACTTAGTTATTCTAAACAGCTTTTAGCACTCTTTACAAATGTAGACTACCAAAATTGCAAACGCTTAAAAATCATGATAATCATATTTATACAACAAAAGCAGTTTTTAAGATGTGCCTTAACAAGCAATGGAAAGGATGAACAGATGTTCTATTACAAAAAAGGATCAGACTTTTAAAGAAACAGATACAATAAAATGACCCACCATTACATACAATAGAAACATCTCTGCTATGACTGCATTCATTAAGAAACAAATACTGGCAATCACTTAGAACAGCATCGCTACTGTCACAGAAAAGTTGATCAATATAAACCGGCCCATTTCCTTCTCCATATAATGCCCCGGTGAAAAATCTCACAGCTCTAGTAATTTTTAAAGTAGAAATATACTTAAACTTTATTCTTACTGCCTTTATTTACAACTTTCATATTTATTTCTCGAGTACATTCGACAAAACAAAAATAAAAATTATTTATATATAAAGGTTCTTAACTATTACAGAACTATATTTGAAGTCCTAAAACGTTTTTGAATAACAATGATTTTGTTTACATCAGTATGTTTGAAATACAGCACATTGGTATCAATTGTGAAAGGTATACATTTACAAGTTCAATAAAAAAATATCTAATCGTATGATTATGGAGGACTCGTTTATAAAACTAACTGGTATTCCATTTACTTTTTTGGTAAAAGTCATCTCTCTAACATGTTTAGATATATCAGGGAAAACATTCCCAAGCAATATATACAATAGCAAATCTTTGTTTCAGCTACAGATAATCCCATATGTGTGTTTCGAGTAATAAAAATTATGCTACAAATGTCGTTATACACGAGTTTTCATCCAAATGGATACGACTATATTTTATACCTAAGCAACTTACTTCAGTCCAAGCATTTTACAAAACACCTCCGCATCTCTTAAAGCAAAATTAGAATCGCAAATAGTTCCCCATGTGTCGCTAATTTTGATTTCTGCCCTACCATCGTCAGGCCCTGTACCATTTGTTAATCGCACATCCGTTATATTTAGAGACGGACCTTATAATAAAATTCTTTATATAACAATATGAATAATTATGTTGATAAAAAATATACAATACAATTTTTTTTTAAAGAAAAGGTTAACTTAATCTTTATGTTTTACCCCCGCTGTACAAACAGTGTATTCATTTTTAAATCCATAACAAAACTATCTTTAAAAAAAAACTTTGCATGAAACAAAATATTTTTTGTGATAATTAGCTTATGATTCATTGACTGAAATATTTAACATTTTACATTTTTGAAACGTAAACCAATTAATAATAAAATGTATAACGTTAATCGGGTATAAGTATAAAATTACCAAAACACATCACTGATAAATCGTTTGCATGCGAACATACGCCGTGATAGTTGTTTGCAACATATTTGCAGTCGTTTATATCTGTATAAGATTGGCGGCTACAGTGTAGACTCTCCATGTATATTGGACCTTCTCCTTGACCATAATATGCATTATAATAGTAGTCGTAATATCTGCAAGGTGACAATTAGTAAATTTTAGTTTCTTGGTTAACAGAGAATAAAGATTTGAAATACGTCCTTATTGGTAATATAGACATCATTGAAACAATCTTTCAGATCTATGGTGTTAAATTCACTTTTCTCTTTGAATTCCTTTTGAAAAGGAATGGACATCTTAAAAATACCGATTTAAAGATAAATTCATTGGCGTTTTTCCGCGAAGGGGCAGGGGTTTTTTATGCAATTTTTGATTTAGTGTTTTAGTTGTATTTGATAGACATTAAAACATTTCTTTGCATTTTTTTCCACGTCTAAATCTACGATGACTGGACTATTACACATTAAAATAGTCTGAAATGAGCAAACATTATTACCGTAATGCAAACATATTGCATATAACATCTGCTGATGGCCAGCCATAGAATCCTCGTGAACAAATTGTTCCCCATGTGCCATTTACTTCTAATTCGACTCTTCCATGATAAGGTCCATTTGTACCGGCCAGTCGCCATCCAGTAACATTCAGCTGATACCCTATAAAATAATATTACACATCTGGGCCAGTGATTATTAGCTTAAACATGTTAAATTGCTCTCTTTCAATTTATATCTTTTTTTATATTCAACATGATATTTTGATTGAGCTCAATAACTTATCCTGTAATAATGTCTGTCAACTCTTATGTAAACTAAATGCATTTGAAATTTTGAAATAGTTGTCTGCAAACAACTTGTATATAATCTACAACATCTTTGAAATGCAACATTCAGCAACCTTATGCACGGTAGTAGTACGTGCAGGCTACCGTCCACGCCTCCAATGTCTTTAAATGGCTATAATGATGGAACCTTTAATATAATATATGCGTGTCATTCCATGAAAAGCGGCGTATGCCCCTACCCCCCGAATAGCCCCCTCTCCTTCTCTATGTGTGTTCTCTTAACGAGAAAATGATAGACGGAACTAAATCAAATGGATTTTTGAAGGAGATCTATGGTTATGTAACCTGCATATAATATGTATAAGACGTCGAACGACCAGTTTAAAAATCAGGTTACATATCCACAGACTAAATAGGAATATTGGTTAGTATTATACATTAATATTTGCTGTTATTATACAGTGCAATGAGAATCCAAGGATTGAATATTGAATGTTAACAACATCATACACAAGAGAAAAGGGATACAAATGAAAATAATGAAAAATTATGAAATGAAAATAAAATGATCACCTGTACAGTAGACTCCTGCACTTTGTGTGTACAAGCAATCATTATTGACATTGTAAGAACAGTTGTTGATATGTGATTCATTTCCATGGCATTGAAGATTTGAAATAAAAACCGGGCCATCGCCCCCTGTATCTGTGTAAATATGACTTGCTCTGTTAAAACACAATATACATACAGTGTATCTTAATTTCTATCAAAACAGTTCATTATATTCCTGAACCTGTCTGATATTTATACGCAGATATAGCAATATTATATTAAATGTTTCTTTTAAAAACATTGCGCATCTGATTTAAAATCGTCAGCAAAACCAGCTGGAAAATATTGATAACTATTAGCAGGGCAGCCTCATCGAAGATACATTTTATAACTATGTAAACATAGTTTGCCGTTGGCCTTACAACCAATCATTGCACAGTTTCATTTAACCTTGTTAACATTACTGTTATAAATCTATTCAAATGTTAATTGAAATTATGATTTTAAAACGAAACTGGCTCGATAACACTTTAGTACGCGAGTATATGAAGACTATTACTAGCTTTTGCATGCTTACAGGCATTGGAATTTCACGGTGTTAAACTTTTAAAAACGAATAATCGTTACCAAGAACACGGCAAATGCGGAATTTTCCAGTGCAAACGTTATAGCTACACGTTGTACAAAACCTCTAGTTTTTTGAAAGAGTTATCAACGAATAAAAAGATCAAATTGGTACAAAAACACCAGTTTTTAAATGCGGAAATATACCCTTAATTTTAAACAGAACATACATGTAATACTAGAAATGTGTCCATAGGACACTGATGCCCCCACACGCCACTGTTCTGTCAATCTTATGACTCTAGGTCAAATATTTTTTGGACTACATGTGCCACAAGTTGAAACTAAAAATCAACAAAGAGCCATAATTCTGTAAACTTTGTTCGCAGCAAAATTTCCTTCCTTTATTACCATCTACACATTAAGGTTGTTAATCCCTGGAAGTTTAAGCAAAATCTGCCATCCGGTTTAAGAGGAGTTGCGTTCACATAATTTCTACATAGTAATTAATGAAAAAATCAACAAAAGGCCATAATTCTGTTAAATTTGGTTGCAGCAAAAATTCCTTCCTTTAGTGCCATCAACACATTAAGGTTGTTCATCCCTGGAAGTTTAAGCAAAATCTGCCATCCGGTTTAAGAGGAGTTGCATTCACAATATTTCTACATAGTATATAGTGAAAAAATCAACAAAGGGCCATAATTCTTTTAAATTTGGTCGCAGCAAAAAATCCTTCCTTTACTACCATCTACACATTAAGGCTGTTCATCCCTGTAAGTTTAAGCAAAATCTGCCATCCGGTTTAAGAGGAGTTGCGTTCACAAAATTTCTACATAGTATATAGTGAAAAAATCAACAAAGGGCCCTAATTCTGTTAAATTTGGTCGCAGCAAAAAAATTCCTTCCTTTACAACCATCTACACATTAAGGTTGTTCATCCCTGTAAGTTTAGGCAAAATCTGACATCCGGTTTAAGAGGAGTTGCGTTCACAAAATTTCTACATAGTAGCTAGTGAAAAAATCAACAAAGGGCCATAATTCTGTTAAATTTGGTCGCAGCAAAAAATCCTTCCTTTACTACCATCTACACATTAAGGTTGTTCATCCCTGTATGTTTCAGCAAAATCTGACATCCGGTTTAAGAGGAGTTGCGTTCACAAGATTTCGGGACGTATGGACGGACGGACGGACGGACAAGTGCAACGCTATATGCTCCCACATTGTGGGGGCATAAAAAAGGACTCCGAACTAAACTGTCAACACGATTTCTTTGGTTTTCTTTGTTGTTACTGTTGTTACATTAGAAATACACGTTCTTTACCTTCTCTTTAAAATTAGTTTGACATCTGTTTATAGTTAAAAGAATTTAATGTACTCAGTAAAGTTTCTGTAACTATCTAATAATTTAAGCAACACATTTAAATGGCTAGAAGAAAACAAGCAATTATCATAGTATTGCAAGCAATCCATAAGTCCCCTACCGGTAAGAGCCCAAGCAACATTCTGAAGGGCCATTGGCCATTCACTTATGTTCCTATTTTAAGTAAATTTGTTGAAAAAATTCTTTAAAAGTGATCACAGGAAACAGTTTTAATGTACAGACAGACGGACTGAAGGACACTCTAAAGTTATTTTTTAAACATCCCTGTTATCAAAATATAACATTTTTAAAATCCTATCATGATTGAAGAAGTTGGAGTAAAAATTACCAATTTCTCAAAAAAAAGTCTAAGTTTAAAAGGGGCATAATTCTGGATATAGTCTTGCTAGAGTATTGAACACTCACAAATGTTGAGTGATAATAAGAAACATTTATATGAAGTTTGAAGTAGATACATTCAGAAAAAGAAGTTATTTAAAAAAAAAAATGTTTTTTTCATGAAAATTTTAAGTTCAAGGGAGGTAATTCTGATAAATTTTGTGCTAGAGTTGTAAACCTTGTCACATATTATGTGGTTGATGACAAGCAACTTATATTTAAAGTTTGAAGAAAATACCTTAAGAAATAAAGAACTTATAGTGAAAAAACTTAAAAACTAGAATCAGAAATCTTGAAATTCAGTCTATTTGTTGCCATAGCAACCAGAATTTTCAACATAGGAAAATAAGAAAAGGATGTGCATAATTTCCATACTGCCATCTACCCATATGTCAAGTTTCATAAACATATGTTCAGTACTTTTTGTGTTATCACTGGATCCAGGTTATGTGTACCATTTGCCATATTTTCAGTCTATTAGTTGCCATAGCAACCAGAATTTTCAACATAGGAAGAAAAAAAAAAGACGTGCATAATCTCCATACTGCCATCTATCCATATATCAAGTTTCATAAAAATATTTTCAGTACTTTTGCGTTATCGTGGGATCCAGGTTATGTGTAAAATTTGCCATATTTTCAGTCTATTTGTTGCCATAGCAACCAGAATTTTCAACATAGGAAAGGACGTGCATAATCTCCATACTGCCATCTATCCATATATCAAGTTTCATTAAAATTTTTTCAGTACTTTTTGCGTTATCGCGGGATCCAGTTTTGTGGACGGACGGACTGACGGACGGACAGACGGACAGACGGACGGAGGGTAAACCTAAAGTCCCCTGCGGTAAACCGGTAGGGGACTAATTACAAAACATATTATTTCTGAACTTGAGAATGGTACATTTATAGATACGTTGGTAGAATACTGAATACGTCTTGTCATGACATTTTATAGTATTTTCTTCGTCAGAGCAGCTAAAACGGTATTCTTATCAGAGCCTTAGCCATAACAAACTCCTCGCAGCGGTTACTTCCCCTGATCTGTACAGTAACCACTGCCACCACAAGTAAATTCGGTCGAATATAGCCGGATATATTTTTTTCACTTTTAATTTAAAAATATGTTTAATATGTTACATTAAACATGAAAATTGAAAACAAAATAAAGATGAGTCGGCGATGATTATATTTACCTGAAACAAACATAATGAATAAAAACTTATTCTTAGACTGTTTGAAAAAAGACAATTAAGAAATGGTACATTTTGCAATGATTTAGTATTAATCGAACGGGATAATATTATGAGAAACAAAAAAAAAAATGTCCGAATTTTATTTGAAGATTTCGAAATTTTTTACGATTGGTAATAAATCGATAATGGGTTGTAACCAAGCTCGGACGTTACATAAATATAACCAAAATGGCTTCAATAGCTGTTAGCCGTGTGTAGGATTTGACAAGAAACACCCCCAAAAATGCAATTATGTGTCCATATCCATATTTAAGCACCAAATGAATGAAAACGAGTATACTGTTAATTTGATCACAACTTTCATAATTGATCAATAACATGGTTATATCGTTTTGTTGCAAATATGTCTAAAACAAATTGTATGAACTTACAAATTATCTTTTATTGCATATCATTTTCAGGTACCACGGGGGCGTTTAAAAAACCAGCCTCTTGTAAGGCTAACATATAAAATATAATATTGAACATACTCTAAACCAATCATTTGACATATGACGTTCGCCTCTGCCATAGTAAAATTGTTGCTACATATAGTTCCCCAAATACCATCAACCTGTATCTCTACACGACCTTCGTGATGACCATATCTGTTTACAATCTTCAAATCACTTATTTCTAACGGATAAGCTGTAATTAAACGATATTATATAACTATACATAACGCCAACGGCTTGTAACTGTACTTTACCTAACCAACATCAAAATAGCTCTGGCAAAAAATAAAACGTTTTGTCAATTTTCATTTTGTACCAAAGAACTTGTTTTTAATATCATTCATACATTATTTATTAAATAGTTGTTGTTAATGGTATATTATATACATGACGTGTCACATTATAAACTAAACTGGTCTACATAGACCGTTTACGTTTTTTAAAAGTAAGAACAGAGACAAAATATTTTTTTTCTGTCTTGACATAAAAATCAAAAAATAGGCAAAATAAGTAACATACAATATTTTGATGAGCATTTGTCATTTTGCATCCAAGTCCCATTCGCAAGACAATCAAATGTAATATTTTCTGGTTGATAGCCAACGTCGCACTTTGCAGTCAGTACAGTACCATTGAAAGAATGATAAGATCCAAATTGTATTAACGGTTTACCACAAGCTGTTAATAAAATAATGTTAAGTTTTAGATGAATATAAAAAAAATTCATATGCACCTGAGAGAAAATGTGAAACAGCATGTCTTCCACTGACTAAAACATTATTCAGATCTCAAAGCTCTAATCAATATATTTGAATTAATTACCACTAAGGATCAAGAAATATTTCAACAGTTTTAAGTTTGGTTCAAGATTACATTTATCAAAGTTAATCAAAACAAATAATACCAGAATAATTACAGAGCATTTGTATTTGAATGCACAAGTTTTCAATTTAAAAACGTCCCGAGTGCTTCTGAATACAACTGTATGTTAAAAAACCAACTAATCCAGTACCATTACAAGTAAAATGGTTCCCTGCGGGGATCATTTTTAATGAGATAAAGATATTTCATTTAATCTTTTCAACATATTTTTTTTTTTTGGGGGGTGGGGGGTGGGGGTATATATAAACGTTTGTATCAGGAATATAGTTGACAATAATCGATCAAAATAGAAGAAGGTCTTTGGAAACTGGCGAACGTTGATGACCGGAGAAGGATGAACATAAAAAAATTATTTCTTTTTAAGGAAATGATGAAATAGGCCTACCATTTTATGAATTATTCCGAGCAAAAAAAAAAAAAAATAAAGTAAACACACAAGTTTACGCTGAAAATATCTCTATTTATTATGGCAGATGCCACTACGAATATTTTAATTGTGTAGATTTTCAGTATAAACAATTTATTGTTTGTAAAGTTTGATAAACATATTAAAGAAACATTGATAATTTTCACATTGTTCAAGTTTTTCCAACTTAAACGGTAAAATGATAATAGAAAATTAGAAATATCACGTAATAGTTTTTTGTTCTTAATTAGGTGTAATTCTGACTAATTCCCTAGAGGTAAATCCGTAACGTACCCGCAAACGGTATTAAGCCAGATTTTCGAAAAGGTCAATAAACCAATCATGTACGGTTTACAGATCACATGCTCCTCCATGTACCGAAAACAGGTCACGTGCTCCTCCATGCCTCAAAAGTTAAACGCGTACCAATACCCTGCGGTCTCCAGACCGCAGGGAATAATGAAGAATCTCAGCGAGCCACTTGATGTATTGGTTTGAAAATGATATATGTTGGTCTGATTATGTTCAAAAATATATATAAAATAACTATCAAGGTTATAAAGAAAGGAAGATGCAAAAAATGCTTACGTGTACACACTAACGAAATATCACGACTGTGAGAGCAATAGCGCCGTCTTGGAGGCAAATTATAACTACATTGATTTACATGGGTGTTTGTTGCATAGCATCTCATATAACCGATATATATAGCTCCTGTTCCTTGTCCGTAAACAGAAGGATCGGCAGAGTAGCGAGTTAATCTACAATTTAATAAATTCCAATCTTAAAATCAAATGTAAATACAAGAACTGAGAAATGTCTCTCTCTAGAGAAGGAATAACAAAAGCTGTAAATTATGATGTCAACCACAACTATTCGTTGCAAATGGTAAGCTTTAAGCATGGTTCCCATCAATGTTTAATGAAAAGAAGTGCCCATAATTGACGTTCATGTGCAGATAAAAATTTCTGTTCTTGTTACATAGCTTTATATAATATTTTAAAGTAGTTTGTACTATATTTGAACGAATGTCTCAAAAATATTAAGATCTATGTATCAAAATGTGAAGTCTAGGGTGAAAACTCAAAACAACACTTTAAGTGAAAGCATTTTATGTTCTCATTGTGCCCATCAGGGTGACTGCTTATCTCCTTTTCTTTTTTCAATTTATTCAAATGATATTGAATATACACTTATGCGTGAAGGTTTAAAAGGCATAGATACCGGGATTTTGTTTTAAATTTTTCTTCTTTTATACGCAGACGATATTGTGATAATAGCCGAAAGTTTAGACGATTTACAAAAAGGCATAGATATTTCAAAAGATTATTGTGAGCGTTGGAAACTTACCGTAAGTGTTAATAAAACAAAAGTGATGATTTTCAGAAAGGATGGGCAATTACCAAAAAATATATGGGTTATGTATAATGGGTCTGAAAATGAATAAGTGAATAAATTTGCATATCTTGTGATAGTTTTTTCTTGTGGGGGATCTTTCGAACACACATATGACGCATTGTCAAGTCAAGCATTTAAACCTATTTTCAAAGTGAAACAATACTTACAGAAATTTACTTATATATAGATGTAAAACATAAAATTGAATTGTTTGACAAGTTTAATAAACACATTTTGTGTTATGGTTGTGAAATAAAGAAATATGTGGCATGAATAAAACTGATAAAATAGAAACTATACACACACATTTTCTGAAAAAATATTTTAGGGGTAAAATAACAAACCCAGACTTATTTTGTATACGGCGATTTAGAAAGGATGCCTTTAAAAAACAAAGAATAATACAAGTTTTAAAGTTCTGGTTAAAGATAATAAAATGCGACAACGTGAAACTGATTAAACAAACATACAATTTGATGCTTTTGAACGAAATAATGAACCTACTAATTGGGCAACGTCTGTAAGAACAATTCTTAAAAATCATTCATGGATATTTCAAGAAGTAGGATATGAAACCATTTTATAGCAGAAGTCAAACGAAACTAAAAGGTAATTTTATTCAAAACTGGATGTCTGAAGTTGAAGCGTCACCCAGGGCCGAAACATATAACGTTTCGCTACTTTGGGTTTTTGAAATACATAGAACAAGTCAGCATCAGCAAATACCGAACTGCTTTAACAAGATTGCGTTTATCGTCACACAGATTTTATATAGAAACAGGCAGATTGTATAAACCGCATCCAGTTCCAAGAAATGAACGCAAATGTATCTTATGTAAAACACAAGAAGACGAATTTCATTTTCTTTTAGAATACCAATTACATAAAGATTTAAGAATAAGATATATAAAACAATACTTTCGAAAAAAACCAAACATTCCAAAGTTTGTTGAACTTCTTTCCAGCGACCAAAAGCAAATAAGTCACTTTTCTCGACAGAATAGTACATGTATAATATTTTCCTTTTTTCTCTTGTGGAAGTCTCTATTTTGGTATAATATTATATTTTTTGTGTGCGTGCGTGCATGCGTGCATGCGTGCGTGCGTGCGTGCGTGTGTGTATGTATGTGTGTGTGTAAAGTTGAATACTAACGTTTACTTTTTGTATTGTTTCAAAATCTTATTGATGATGTCTATGTTAGGTGTATAACTGTTTGAAAATACTACAAAAGTCAAATTAAATAATTTAAATGAGAACATTTACATAAAAGCATTTATATTTTTATTCAATGATACTGTTGTTTCACCAATTACTTTCTTATAGTTTGCAAAATGATACGATGAGGTCATGAGTATGATATTTACTATTTTCATGAAAATACTAAACATGCTTGATAAAAGTAGTTTCATATTTCTATTGCATGAAGTCATGATTGATATATTTTACGATTACATACATGTATGATGATTTATATAGAATTGGACCGCTATTGAATATTTTGTAAAAAAAAACTTGTATTATATGCTTGTTTATATGTATACACAGTCATTTGCCTTTTGTTCAATAAAATTTTTCATTCATATTCATATAGCAGCTGCCTGAATTTTCGATCGACTGAAAGGAACATGACTAATTTAACAACAGGTTTTACTTACTAGAATAAAACATTTAGTCACGACATTTCTCCCAATTTTTATATTATACATAAAGGCATAGCTTTATATTAAAATTGTATACACAACTAACGACATGTATTGTACTAGAGAATATTTAATTCCAATATGATACTTACTTAAAACCCATTGATTTACAAAGAGTATCGGCATCATATGATCCGATGGAATAACCACAAACAGTGCCCCAGTCATCGTTGATCTGAACTTCAACACGACCGTCATATGGACCTGTTCCCCCGACAAGCCTTACATCTGTTATATTATGTGGATATTCTAAACAAAACAAACAGTGCACATATGTTATTGTTATTTCTTTCATTTCGATTATAACGATTTTGAGATGATAATATTTGATATATGTTTTCCTGTCTCTACCAGCATTTCGTTATGATTTTTTGTAATGATTGTCACTAGAAATATGTGAAAAAGCAGCAGATGCACTTTGAATTTATACATTCATATAAGTCAATAGTGTCTAGTATCTACAATAAGGGATTTTCAAAACCCTTTGAATTTGTTATTTATTTAAAACAAATGTTTAATGCTTATTTGAATTGGTAAAGAATAGTGGGCTTTTAATGGTTTGAGTAAATATGTTGCTATATTCAATTAAAGAACGGGATATATCTCACATCAATTTCAGATACAAGTATACTTCAAACAAAGCAACAACAGATTCTCTTATTGCAAAAATCAGCGTTCGACTACTTTTACTGAAACTCAGAAAAAGACATCAAACGTTTAGCAAGCGTTTGAACGCCGTAAAAAGAGATAACGTAATTCAAGTTTTTTTCAGTGAAGATATAAAATTTGAATCGAGATATAATCCATTAAACAAAGGGAACAATTGACCTTATGTGATTTTACAAATTAAATAAAATAGAATCAGTTTTGTACTATGCAATGTAAATTCATCTCTTTATCTTATTCTACAAATTTTCAAGGAGAAAACAAATAAGTTTCAAGAAGTCGATCAAAATCAACAGTGCTTTTTGTAATTATAATAGTATAAAATACGATACTGATTTAATATGGATTTTTGGACACTAAAAATAAAAACTAGACTGGATGGAGTCCGTCCTATGCATTGGATTCAAAATGAAAACGATGCTATACGGGGTTTCATATGGGATAAATATGGATTGTATGGACTGTCAAGGAAAAGCTAAATTGGATCCAATTGTGATATATAAGTATATTGGAAGATCACATTGCATATTGTTCAAACATTGGGTTGTGTTTTTTTTTTAATGAATTAAGAGAATGATATTAATGATGATAGCCATATTAACAGATAAATAAACTCAAACTTACTACACTCAACGAAAACTGGATAGCTACTCGAACATGTCTGACGAACATCGTATAAACATTCGTTAATGTGATCCTCCGTTCCTATACAATCAAGTTTGTCTAAATGATAAAGGTTTGAAGTGCTTCCATAATAGAGAAAATCGTGAAACCAGTAGCTGAAATGATTATTTAAGGCCCATGAATGGGACCTTTCTGTACATATAATGACAAACATAATTATGTGAACCATATACTTTTATATTAACAAAATTAACAGCTTTCTTTATTAAACTGATTAGATTAAACAAATGTATCTTATAAACTATTAATTAAATATTTGAGTTTATGCGACATAATTATCAGGTTCTAATTATACTAAAATATAATGTTTACAATTTACAAATTCAATTTGATTTTTAAAAGTGTTATAAATTTATAATAAATATTACTTAAATCCTAGCATCTTGCATATCACTTTTGCGTCGTTGTATTGAAAGCTGTTTCTACAAATTTGTCCCCAAGTATCATTGACCTTCAGCTCGACAAAACCATCAGTTAATCCTATACCATTGACAAGCCGTATGTCAGTAATGTTAAGTGGATACCCTGTAAAGATTCATGTTATCTATGGGTGTTTTTTTTACATTTCAATATTCACAAGAAAAAAACGGCAAATCTATTTCGAGCATGCGCACAAACAGTAAGGTCAATTTTTTTAACATTCTGACCAATCCATACAGTTTAATTTATGTGCTCAATTCTAACATAAGAAACTCATATGATGTTAAACATATGAATGGATCGAAATAGAACCTTTTAAGCGTTTAAATGTAAGTTAACAATATGGATTACATCAGAAATATCTTAAAGAGAAATGTCTTACAATTTACGTGGTTTGATATCAAGCATGTCAAAGCATGCGGGATTTTTTCGTATTAAACATCACAATGGGCGCTCATTATGATTTATCCGAAATACTATTCAATTAGATATCTTAGTTGAAGCAGCAAACTTAGCCCGTTAAATATTTATGTCAAGTGGATTGCATAATCTTGCATAATTTGTACTATAACAAGCTTTCTGTATTAAGTGTGTACGTATTTATATATATTAAGCATAATGATGTTCCATTCATAATAAATGTACGAAATAGTGTGTATTTATCTGTGATTGTGATAGCAAAAACTGTTTAACATTATTTCAAGGGCAAAACACTCAAAAACTAGGTCGATAACGCCAGTCTGATATGCATTTGGCGGTAACGAGGCTTGCCGAGTTACCGCCCATAGGCGGTTCCAGAGGGAGAGATATTCCAATCCGAACCGCAAACATATGTCAGATATTTTTTCTTGCATATTCTGCCATATTATTTCATGTTTAAAATGGTTTACCTCAATATGATATATGTAAATGGAAAATAAGCACATATTTCCCTTCAAAACAACGTTATTTTAACGCGGTTCATTCATAACGTGCGCTAAAATTACGTTGTTGTTTGGCACGTGACTCATCTGGCACATCCCCCATGCCAGATGAAATTTCCGGCATGGGTAAATCTCACGGAAACGCCAGTCTGCAATGCAAGAAATGTTTGTCTTTCCACTTAATGCACGGCAAAGTCAATCGTATTACCGTTAACGTATCAATCCAGAAAATAATTCAAACTTACCAGATGTTGCACATGTAATGTTGTTTGACCATGTTCTATTAGTTTGACATATACTTGTGTGTGTGTTTGTCTGGTAGTCAGTAACACAAGAGGTTGTAAGAACCGAACCATTTGATGATATTGACTCAATGATTCCATTTTTGATGTCGATGTCCCCACATTCTGTCAGTAAAATGAAATGATCATTCATAGTTTTTCCCAGAAATCATTTTACTTACCAGTATGTGTTTTATGAATTAGCCACTTCGATTAAAACGCGAAAGTGTTTATTTATTATGGTTATTAAATAGCTTTTACTATTTATATTGTTACTTATCATTGTAATATTGAAGTGATCAGTAAACGTAAATAGGATTGTTTAGAGTTGCGAAAATGAATATGAAGTTAAATTGCTTTGTATATTTATGTACTTGTTGGCCGAAACAGTTAAAATGTTATATGTTTTTTAAAGTTTCTTTGACTTAAAATTATAAAAGTTCTCAACTATTAAATAAAATAAACATATTTCTGAAAACACGAATCTGTACCTGTACATATTACCCCAATGTCTCGTGAATGAACGCAAAACGAATTGGGTTGGAAGAGACACTCTCTAAGGTGACTTTCATATCCATTGCAATAAAACCTCTGAGCAAATACTGGCCCTTTACCTTGCCCATAATGTGCTCCCGTAAAGAATGATGTCGCTCTGAAATGGAAATTAATATTTTTGCATATAAATAGCCGTGGTATTAAGTTTTATCTAACATTTAACAAAATGTGTTCCAATAACAAACCTATTATAACAGAAACGGAATTGTTCATGTCTTTTAAGAATACAAATGCAACATAAGATTGAGACATTTGACAGAAAACACAAAATATGATAAGCTTATATAAGAAGGTTAAAAAAATATGATATGATACAAGAAGATATTGCATTTGTATTCATGCAAAATTTCAAAATTTAATCTAGAAGGGATAAAGAATACAGAGTACTGAATAAATAAAACGCACGACGTAAACAGAAGAAATAGATGACGAGTTACATAGGGAGGCTACAGATGTTTCTGCAGTGGTATGGAGAGCTTGTAGCTGCCAGTTCCCGCCCAAAGAGGATCGAAAGAAAATATACCGTATGTTTGTTTAACAAAGACAGGAAAAGTGTTGAAGAAATTATGACAAAATTTGATATAATCAACATACGTCAGATTCAGTGTTCTACATATAACTTTGGCGTCGTTCATGTCAAAATCGTAATCACAGATCGTTCCCCAAACACCGTCAACCTTGATCTCAACACGTCCGCTAAATGAACCATTGCCATCTACAAGTCTTACTTCAGTAATGTCCAAATAATCGGCACCTGGTTATTGATACAAGGGATAATTTACTACGAAAGTTATCTAGTAAATTGTAACAGAAGCATCCATGAGTTTTTACAATAGTCTGCAGGTCAATGAATATAGCAAATTATACAGCTAAAAATATATGATTCGCATAATACACAAAGCGGCAATTTGAAATAGAAATATGCGTTGTATTTTTTTTAAAAATTGGGCGAAAATTTTAAATTAGTTTAAAAAAAAAATTATCCCGTAAGGTGTTTGGTTTTTTACCCTTTCCCTTTAAAATTGCCCCTTTTTGATATTTTTTATGCGGAATACAGTTTTTAAACTGTTAAGTCATATTCTCAAAAGATAAATACAGAGAATTTTTACTCATATTCAAAAAAGCCTTTCAATTTTTTGTTGAGAAATTTTAGATCCATTTCCAAACATTTGCTTACACGTTGAAAGGCCTGACACCGGTAGATGTTTTGAAACCTCTATCAAGTAAGAACAAATAACAACAAAACAAACAAAATGATAATTAACATACACATAATTTCTTACTTATTTGAAAGTAGGTAATTATAAGTTACCTGTTGTTGTGTGAACTGACGTCAGCAGGAACAACAGCATAAACCTTATCTTGCACATTTTAACTGTAAAAATATTTTTCTTTTGACTCGTTATACTTTAACTACAAACGCATGCATAACAACATGAGAATACAGCGTATTTCCATTCAAAGAAAATGGGTTTCAACTTCTTGAACATTTACGGTACAAAAGTTACAGATAATAAGTGTACATGTATATCATTTCCAACATTTACATGTACTCGTATTGTTTAAATACCTATGTGATTACAACTACAATAAATTACAAAATAAATGAATAAATAAAACGATGGCTAAAAGCCATATAATACAAAATACGTATATGCATTTACTACAACAATATCTGTAACTTTCAAACAGTAATCACCTTTGATTTGACAGAAGAAAAAAGTTTACATGCTTAAGAGGATTTCTTTTATTTGTCTATCATATGAGCATTATTTTGATAAGCTGAGCCCCAAATAACATGATTTTGGTTTTATTTTCTTTTACTCTCATCACATATCTATGATCGGCATAAATGAAAAATTTGATCAATACTGGTCACGTGTTTTGTCATAGATATGTAAATCAAAACCAAAAGTCGAGCTTACACAGATGTAAAATAATAAACTCGTATAATACAAAAAAAAGGCCAAATGTGAAGCTATGATTAAATATATTCAACAGTTTAAAAGTGTTAATTATTAAAAACTGTTTATTATCACAAAAATTAGTCAGCCAATATAATAATTTTTGTTTTGAAAACTAATAATCTATTATGAAAAAAAAATATTTTAAATATTTTAACACTCTGATGAAAACGAAAATACCTTTATTAGTATCTACTCCATATTATAATGCTGAAATTGTATGTCTGCACGCAAAGTTGATCGCCTACTTTGATTTGCATTTGTAAAAACACATACTTATATAATAAATAAAATGCGTAATTTGTTGTCACATGATAGAAAAATATTTAAACATTTCATTGGTTGTTTCCAAACTGAGCATAACAGAACATTATTGAATGTAAATGTGTTTTTATTCAAAGCGGAAGTCCTTCAAATTGATAATTGCATTGCACGTTAGAATTAATACCAGCAAGAATCTGTTTTATTTTTATCTTGTTAACACTTCTGATTGCGTAGAAAGTTAAAGTCTTTGACTTCCACCCTCATAATTAAGTTCTTGCACCGGCTGGACAATGAGCCATTATACATAGTATGATATTGTAAACGCTACAGTCTTGTTAACTTGATAATCATATTTCCTACCTTATACACATTACAAATGAACGTTAATTAATATGGAAAGAAGCACGTGTTATGCTTGATTTTTATCCCTGCTACTTTAAAAGATTTTACAGAAGGAAAGGCATAAAAGAAACAGGATAAGGAACAATTTAAAAACCGAATATTAATACAAAAAAATCTTTAATTTTAAAATTCCGATTATCAATAGACTTACAAAAAACTGACAAATTTTTAGACTCGTAGAAACTGCAATACTGTATTGCTGCAGCATGAGAAACCGTTATAATGCTACTATATATAGCGAAAATCCAGTGAAGAACAAGCTCCTGCAGACATGTTTTTCTTTGATTTTCTTTTTAATTTGCCCTGAAAAAACAAAGATTCATCATGCTCAAAGAATTTCGATCACAACGATAAAAAGAAGTTCCCATGGCGTAAGATATATATAAGTAACAGTGGCATAGTTTTTTACATTTTTAAGAAGTCTTAAACACTTATATGATATTCTTTGTTTCGTGCAGTAACCTATATATTGTAACCTGGATGAACTATAACATGAACGTGCTAACATTAATTAAGAGCAGTAAATTTTACTAAAAGGACTTATTGTCACATAAAAGGTTGTTATGCTACAAAATGAGACAATGTTCTTTTATCATAATGTTTATCGTTTTGGAAAATCTAAAAAAAGCCAATATTTGAAAATGTTATAATTCTTTATCTAATCTTACTATTCTATCTTTACGCTCAGTGGGAACGGGAAGACGCTAAATAAAAAATATAAAACGTGATAAATTACAAACAATACGTGCGAAATGCATATTTATACGTCGAACGATATTTTAGGTGCAACTGAAATTATAATTGATAACACGTTTTTGAGTTTAGAAACTGTGACTTCGTTTTGCGTTTTATCTTTTATGTAATCAAGTATGAAAGTACTAGTTTTACAGCCTGTGTTTTAATAAACACGGCAGGAAAATATGTTGATCTATCGTTATTGGTACCATGAAGAAACACTTAAACTAATTCGAAAATATACAAGCGTTTCAGTTTATATTTAACTGCGCATATATATGTATATTCTTTTGAAAACAAATTTATGCTCGCAAATTATTCTTATTTCATTTTATTCAATAGATTTATTGTCATTTTATTTGCTTTTCAAACCACTCTAAATAACTATAATGATTATTAAATGCCGGTGTAAGTATATAGATATCTGTTTATAACAAAATTATGTGTCTTCGTGACAAAATTAAGATCTCACTATAATTTTCAATTCCTATTGATCAGAAGCTCAATATAAAGAATGGGACAGTAAATATTTCTAAAGAGATCTGTAAATAATTTAATGCTTAAACGCATATTTGCTTAAAGTCTAGTTTTGGGGGGATTTTTTACGACTTCCGCTTCATTCATTTTGGCACAATAATTGGTTGGCATTTTGTATGAGAGCATTGCAAATTAAAAAAAAGTAAATTAGAAATTGCGTATTTTTAAAAAATTAAATACATATAAGGCATATTAAATTCTCCGTTTAAATTGGCTTAGGGTGGGCGATGTACGAGTAGAAATGGGCCAATCTTGTTAACTGTATACCAGCAACGGCGACATTTACTTTAAAGTATTAAGTAAATAGTTAAATGTTTAAAACACATATTTCATCAAAGCCTAGTTGTTTGGGGTATTTTTTTATAGACTTCCGCTTAAACCATTGTCCCACAGTTATGGGTTAACCTCTGTGTGAGAGAAGTACAAATTTAAAAATAAACGCACATTTGCTACTGCGTATTGTTAAAATATCACACATATTACGCATGACAGACAAATCAAAATACTTGAAGGTCGACCAAAGTCGTCTTTATGATATTTGTTTGATACATTGTGCCAATGCAACGACTTTGAAGCCTTTTGATCTCTTTCTGATAACATTTTTTACATTTTAAGTAAGTCAAACGCACAATTGCATGGTCAAATGATATTTTGGTGCAACTAAACTGTCTTTATATAGGTTTAAAAAGTATTCTTTTTAATATTTCAGTGTTATAGTATTAGGATTCAATATATTTCATAGAAGCAAAAAGAATACAACATTATTCTCAAACTTTTGGATTTTCGTAGTTTTATGTAACATACAAATTGGGTCAAGTAACATAACTGATGAATATGAGCTTAAATCATAAATCATTATGATTAGCAATGTAGTTCTTAATTTCATCTACTTCAGAAAATGCTACCTTAGAGAGTGAAGAAGTAAAGAATGCACTCAACAGCATACCATTTCAAAAACTATGTACGTTGCTGAGTTGTACCGGAAGTAATATTCAATACTTTTAAAAGATAAATTTGAAGAATTTCAGTATGTACTGTAGGGGGAGGATACACAGCACAGACATATATTGCTATAGCAAAATACATGTATATAATGTTTTTTTTTTGTAGAGAGACAGCAATTTGCAGACTGTTTATTGCTACGTTTGTCACGGACTTCACGAAGCTTTTCGAATTCGCAAGCGTCTCATTTAGCATATGCACAGGCCCTCTCAAAATGGTTTTTTCTTCAGTCCATTAACCCTTAAAAGTTTAGAATGGCCCTTTGAAAAATAGAATGCCTGTAGAATAATTGGATATGGCTTCTTAATACTGATTGCAGTGTAAATACATATTTCAATTCAACACAAAATTCCATAAACAATTTTATTATAATACTTTTGCTGTTTACTGCTAGTACTTAGTATATAATCATGTTTGATACATTAAAGAAAAACTTCTGATAATTTGAAAATTACTTAAAGTAATTTTGTTTTCATATTTGACATTTCCTATCTATTAAAATCCATATCTAATTTTTTATTCACTTCTTCCCTTTAGATTACTTAACTATATACGCATGAACGACGCGAGTATATAGCTTACATAATTATGTTTAAAGTAGACCTAGCTTCTAGTTAAATTTGTCACATATAAATTTAATTACTTGCAATTGGACTAACTGATTAAAGTGCATATTACCTTGAACAAGAGACAATTACTTATTTTATAAATGTTCAGTCATATAAACCTTTTTCTATATCTGTATTTTCGGTTCCTAAAATGATTTAAGTAAGCATGTAACTAATTTACTTTTAACCTGATAACCTATACATTGACTTAATTTAAGTTGATTTGTATACTTTATAATGATAAGTAAACTAAACAAAGCTTAGCATTTACATACTTTCTGATTTTAATTGTCTATTTTAACTTAGGTAAATACGGTTGTCTATTCATAAAATTGTGTTCGATGTGCTTATCGAAAAATGGACGGAAAAGGCCGAAAAGTTACTATTGCATTTCCATCGTACTTTGGTACGCAATAGTAATAGATAAAAAAATGTAATACCACGAAGTACCTTAAACGAAAAGGTAACATCAATAAATGCCAAAAATGAAAGCATAATTATAAGCTGTATAAGAGTGATTCATGTCGGTAATGTTGTTAAGGTTACCAAACAGGCTTTAAAGATTATACATGTAAAGAATTTTTTTGATTTTTTTTATTCAATATTTGATACTGACGTATTATGTTATATTTTTTATTCTAAAACTCTTTGTGATTTTGTCAAAGAAGAAAAACATTGGTGATAACTGCCAATAAATACTGATTATAGACTACATGTATACTGTATGCAGCTGTTATCTTTTTTTTCTTCGATTAGATAGTTTATAAAGTTTTTTGAAGGCAACAAAAATAACAATTTTGTATTGATGTTTTCCGTTCTTATGTTTTCTTTACATTTGATGCCAAAATAACATCGCACATCACATA